ACATAATTACCGGACTCTGCGTAAGTAGTATGCAAACAACTGTATTCTCTTTTGCTATTTCAAAGTAGGGATGTTGCGAATGTGGAATTTCAGACATCCGCGGATGCGAATATCGAACAGCTAACATCCGCTGTGCGGATGCGAATGCGGATGTCAGGTATATTTAAGAAGCAATTGGAATCTAGCATAATGGCGAGATCAATGTTTAAACAGCGCTTACAAGCCAAACCAGATGTGTCAGGTTTTTCTAAAGCTTTTAAAAAAAAATCTTCATTCTCATTCCTTTGGCTGTTTCAAAATTTGGGAAATCTGTAACTTTATCAGCGTTTTTCGATTTTAGTTTTTGTTATTCATTTTTAATACTTTCTCTGCGACTGGTTTGAAAAATGTGTGCTTATAGCGTATATGTAGGTGGATATGGAAAATAATAATTTATTAAAATAATAATTTATTTTCCAGGAATGAAAATTTTGAACAAAATTGTGTTTTCAAAGTCGTGGCTGCCAGCCGAATCGGATCAGAATATTGTTATTTTTTTAATAAAAGCACCCCGTTTTTTATTAGCATTTAAATCTCAGATAGTTACGTAATTCTTATCTAATTAAATGCTTTTTAATTATTTGAGCACCGATTCTCTTTATAGCCAGACATTGATAATTTCGCAAAGAATGGGCAGTTTTACCACAGAAGTTTTTAGCCAAGGATCCAATGTATATCCCTATAAAAAAAATATTGCCCAACAAGTAAACAAAATTTCTGTTTTTAGAATTTTTGCTAAAAATAAATTCCCCAAAGAGCCCCATTTGAAATTATACGAAACGAATATATGTAACATCAAAAGCAAATCACGAAAATTTGGTTAATAATTACAGTGCACACTTTCTTCTTTTGTGTCCAGTAGTTTTTTAAGATTGGTTCAAAAAAAATCTTAATAAAGAAAGAAACCAACGCAGGTATTTAAAGGAAAAATATATCATTAAAATTACTATGTTCTCTTTGACGTACGTCAAAGGTCAAGTAGAAGTGGGAACCCATTGATAGCTCGGTTATGTAGCATAGGAAATAATAGTGGGATTCATGAAACCTCGCAAAGTTGTTGCAAATGTCGCATTTGTCGCATAATTTGCCTCCTTGCGACACAGCATTGCCATAGTATTTGAGGTGGCAATCATTGCAAAGTCAAAGTCGCGAAACACACGCTTTTTTATTGTCTTCAAATACTTCAAAAAAGTACATCAGTTAAATCTGCTTCGAAATATAATTGTAAAAATTTTTATTTTTCTCTAACGCGCGGCATTTTTTTTTAATTTTACATTTGCAATCCGGAGTTGCGATAGGTCGTTCATACAACTTTGTTCGCAACATTGCCATTTCGCCAAAAATGCCACTTTGCGACGTCTTATGAATCGCACTAATATGTTTAAAAACATTTTTATCAAAGTTGATAAATATGACATTTGATCACTTTTGTTACACAAATACTCCCACGACCACAGGCAAAAATATTGGCTAAAATTTGTAAGTTTCTTTGCCATATAGGTATACGTTTTATCGGTGTACTTGCACAACATTCGCATTCGCAAAAGCTCCGCATTGATTATTGCGAATGTGAAAGCGAATGCGAATGTTAAAATTAATGCGGAAGCTCCGCGGTTGCAAATGCGAATTCGAATATTCGCAACAACCCTGTTTCAAAGTATAATTTTATATTTTACAGCTCTCTTGCACTCCTCAAGATTTTGGGTGACTTGCAGCCTTATGTACGCAAACAGTTCCATTCCTGGGAGCAAAGCGAATGGACCAACATCGCTTTGGGAAGGAGCACCGTACCATTGCCGACGTTACCGACACAATGTTATGCGCATGGAGTTAGTGATGTTGGTAACGATGTTTAACTGGGGATTAAGTATCGAGATGGTGATCGCCATTCGTGGTTATTGGGCGATGCCGGATATGCTCTGGAACCTTTTCTGTTGACACCGTATATAAATTCATAGCCACGGTCTATAAAACACGCATTTCAATCAAAATAATTAATAACGAGTTTTGTAATTAAACAATAAACAATTTACGCAAAAAATAACGTTTTAAGACTTCTTACTATTTTCAATTCGATTCCAACTCAAGCTGTCGCAGTTTAATTTGTTTTTATTTTATTTTTTTTTTCGTTATATTAATTGTCAATTTTAATTCGTTTACTTACATTTTTCGTTGTTCGCTAAATATTAAAATTTTCCTTTGATCATTTACATTTATATTTTTGTTTTTAGTTTTGTTCTTTTTCTATTCCACTGGCTTTTGCTTGATCGGAATATTTCCGATAAAAAATTTCCGATACTCGGAATGCAGAACATCAAATTTCCCATAGAATTCCGATTAGAAGTGGATCGAAATGTAAAACAAGGCGAAATCGGAAATAATAACCGATTATCGGAATGCAGATCACCAACAATCGGAAACAAATCCGATACCGGTTCGAAAACCGGGCCTCCTCAAAAACTCCAGGCCCGGGTAAAACACCCCCGACTCACCCCTTCCCACCCCCTCCTCCCTGATTGTGGATAGCTCTGTATAATGTGCAAGGGTCTGACATTTTTATTAATACAACCGTTCCTTTGTTTTTTTAATTCTTTATATGTAAATATGTATGTATGTATGAACACATGGTGAAATTATACCAGGTGAAGTAATACAAGCGAGGAGAAAGAATTTTTATTGATTTGATCTATTTCGAAAACTTAAAAATTTTAACATTTTTTATAAGATAGCCGAATCTGTTTTATTACTTCACCTGCTTATTTCACCATGGTATGTATGTACACTAGGGTGGTCCAAAAATGCATGAGAAAAAGTAAAGTCGAAATTTTAATGCCGCCACCTCCTAGGATTGTTCTATATCGAAAAAATATAACCATTTTTTCTTTGTTTTGCAATATAAAAAAATTTTGGAGTGCCCAAAACGCTCAACGTTTTCCATATATTTTATGTGGGGAAAAAACACTTTTCGTAGAAATGGTGTAGAATTTTTGAAAATCAATATTTTTCGATCGGAAAACTGTTTCTCTTCAAGAGATTCCCAGTAATAATATCTAATTGTCTCTTTTTCCATTTTTCCATAGCAACTATATTTTATAGGTCCGCCAAAAACCAGAAAATGCAATGGGGGGACCAAGGCATTTAAACAGGTAATAGCATTAGAGCAAACCCAACCCTGCCATGTAGTTTATTGTTGCTTGAGAAACCTAGAATGTCAAAACAGAAAGAAATGTAAACACATGTAGACCAATCAAAAGCAAGCAAAAATGATGATAACACCGTGCAACAAAAACCAAAAATTTTTAAAACACACGAAAAAATCAATATATTCACAAATCTAAGAACCAAATATGGTATTACTGCGTTTTTAATTTTTCTCTCTGACGTCAATTAAAAGGAAAAATTCTGTAGAATTGAAAAAAAAATTAATTTTTGGTGCACCAGGACGAATAAGTGTTGAAAATGTCCTTTTAAAGCTTTAAAAAATATATGTCAAGGACTAATATGTTAACTAGCACATCCTTGAATTTCGTCCTTATAACTTTATTAGATTTAGATAAAAAAAAGTTTTACACTTTTCCTTATAATATCTTGATAGTAACAAAATATACTACATAAATGAAGATACTGGAATCATTACACTTGGTACAGCACTCGGCTGGGCATTTTTTTTAAGAGATTGAGTCATAGGTAAAAAAGTAATTTCTCCGTTTTTCGAAGTTAGCCTCCCAAATCGAGATATGGGCCTTCGAAGTTCGAAATAGGTAAACAAATACTTTTTTTATTATTATATGTAGATAGCCCAAAAACTAAGAATATGGACGTAGTCCGCCTTTTGTTCTTATTTAAATGGTATATAACTTTTTTAGTGCAAGCTTATATTACAGGTGCTATGAGGGCTCAAAGGTCGGGTCTTCGAAAAGTTAATTCGTATCGTTGTAAACATGATTAAACCCCCATTTTTCTGATATACATGTTTGTATACTGAGTATGTAAAAATTTGAGAAAAAACATTTAAAATGAAAAAATACCTCTTTTTTATAAAAAAATATTTTAAATAAAAAAATTACTAGCCGATTTTAAAAAAATGTATATCGTGTTAAACGCAATCAAACCTTCGTTCTTCTGATACTTCGTATATAAAAATTTCAGAAAAAACCCTTAAAAGGAAAAAAATACCTTTTTTTGCAAAAAAAATTACAAAAAAATTAACCGATTTTTTTTAATTTTTTATCGTTGTAAACTTCGTATATAAAAATTTGAGAAAAAGCACTTAAAAGAAAAAATACCTTTTTTAAAAAAAAAAATATTTTAAATAAAAAAATTACAAACCGATTTTGAAAAAATTGGTATCGTTGTAAAGGATACCACAAAACTTATACTTTCTTAAACCCTAAATTTTCTAATTATATACACAAAAAAAAATTGAATCGAAAACATTTTGCCCTCTATATAAACCAGTTAGTTATAAATTAATCATTGACATATATTTTTTCTAAAATAAATATTGGAAATTTCCAATAAAAAATCTTTAGTGTTTAAAAATGGTTAAATAAATAATTCGATATTAATATTGGAAGTATCCTGAAGAAAGCTACAGTTTTCGTATCGAAAAATATTGATTTCCAAGAATTGTATTCCATTTGTACGAAAAGTTTTTTTCCGCATATAAAATACATGGAAAACTTTGAGCGCTTCTAGCACGCCCTAAATATTTTTTGATTTGAAAATAAAACATATAGGGGTATATTTTTTTCGGTGTAGAACAATCCTAGGGGTTGGCGGCATTGAAATTCCGACTTTACTGTTTCGGACCGACCTAATGCACACAAGTATATGATGTTGCTACTGGCAAATGTCAAATAAAGGTATCGAAACAAATGTCATTACTTTCAGTTTTTTTAATATACTTTGCTATATAAATGCATGTATTAACCATAATAAATATTTTAAAACTGCTTCAGGGCCGCTGCAATGACTTTACGTACCGTTTTACTGTCGCTTCAAGCTTTACTAGCTGCTGCAGAGCCGGATGATCCACAGGACGCAGTGGTCGCTTATCAATATAAAGACAAATATCAGCTGTTTCTAATGACAGCTAAGCATTGGACAAATGTCTACGCTGGAGGTAACTAATATTGTTTGTTGAAAACTTATATGTGAGGTTTCACAACATTTGTCTCTTTTAAAGGTCCACACAATTTTACTGAGTGTGATACAAAAATTCAACGCTTGAAAGATATGGGAATTGATGAACATGACGCGCGGGCTGTTTTGTCAAAAGAAAATTGGGATTTGGAAAAAGCGACCGAGAGCTTATTTAGTTAGCTTCTTTTTTAACTAAGAATTTTCTGAGAAATAAGAAATTGTCAAAAATATTGTTTAGCGAAGTTTGATATTTATTTAAAAAATAATTACCCATATGATTGAAAAATCCGGCTTTATTATTACTCAAACAGGTGGAATAAGACCAAAATTAATACGTGGCCAGAGCCGCATTTAGAACCAATAGTTGGTGAGGCCCTCAATTTCTTTTTAATTATTAAAATCTTGGCAAAATATTCGTATAATTGTTTTACTATGTTTATTATAAGTTTATAATTCTGCTTACTCACAAGTACTTTTAACTTTCTTAACTTAGAGAAATTTTACGAGATTTTTTGTTAACAAAAATATTCTGATCTCAGCTAAAAACCAAATCTTTCATCAACGGCTTCGTATGCAGATCTATGCGATGAGTTGATCGATAACAGGGAGAAAAGATTCTGTACGAAAATTTTCTTTCTGTGATAATGTTACTGAAAGCGATTTTCCATGATCAATACGTTTTAGTGGTACATTATGAGATCGAATAAGTAAATACATATCGTTATTATAGTAAGGAACGGGTGTAACTCATATCGTCGCTTAAATACAAAAAGCCGTTACTAACTAAAAATCCCAAATTCACTTTTTGATCGATTTTGAGGAACTTCATCGAAGTGTAGGTCCCCACACCGTTTTATGCAATAAAAAATTTTATATCTCATACCTTGCTGTCTAAGCAGTGGAAAATACAAAAAGTTCTTCCACAAAATTTGAAAAAAAGAACGGCGGCTGATTTTCCTACCAATTTTAACTAGTGAGCACAAAAAGGGATAAATAATGCAAAACTGTTTTACAGCATTCATTGCTTTATATTTTCCTCTCATATTCGGCACGTTATCATAGGATTGATAACGACAATTTTGTATATCAATCACTTGTCTCCGCATAAATTCAATAAGGGCTTCTGCCATCTCTATACCTTTGTGACCATAATCAGGAATGGAAGTAACAAAACGCTCAACTGGACCGAAATTTTCCATGTATCCTAAACTCACTGTTAATTGATGTACATAAGCCATTTACAGTGGTGGAAAAATAGAGACACGACATTTTGACAAATTTTTCCTATTTTTCTTTTGTTCATTTAATATTTATTATTTTTATTATCTAACAAAAACTATATAAAAAAATATTTCAAACTTTGTGCAAAAATTATAAAAATTCTGCAATTTTGCATCTAAATTTTTAATTTTTTTAATCAGATTTTTCAGTTTTTTTTTTTTGAGTATGCACTTTTATAGCCCATTAAATTTTAGTAGAATAAAATCCAAGTTTTAAGTTGCTAAAAAGACGCGTTGATTTTTGGCAATTTTTTAACGCATTTTCTTCATACAAAGTATGTTCGAAAAATTTTTTGTGGAAAAAAGTTCGTAATACATTCAGAATAACAATTACCAAAAATCACCGCGGTTTTAGTAACAATAAACCTGCACTTTTTTCTACGGAAATTTAATGGGCTATAGAAGTGCATACTCAAAAAATTCTAAAAAATCGTATTAAAAAGTTGAAAGTTTAGATGAAACTTTGCGGAATTTTTATAATTTTTGCACAAAGTTTGAAATATTTATTATGGTTTTTGTTAGCTATACTTATAGTTATATATAAATCAACAAAAGAAAAATAGGAAAAATTTGTAAAAGTTTCGTGACCCTATTTATTTTTCCACATCGGGTATAGAATCCACCTAACCAGAATAAGATTTCAATTTCGTATACGGTTTGATATTTCGAATAGCAATTTCTTCTACTATTGTTCAGGGCAAATAATTTGCGTGCGTTATTGGCTTTTTCTTCCAAGTGACCAGCGTGAAGAGGAGCAAACTGTGTTATCTTTTCGAGAATACCAAGAAAGTTTCCATTGTTGGGGGAACCAATAATTTTGTCAACACCACGAAATGGCAACCCAAGCGCTGCAACAGACTTTAGCTCTACCCAGAATTGCAGGGGTCGACGGTTAATCGCTGTGAAAATTAAGGCCCCTGTTATGGTTCACAACTCAACTTAGTTAGCAATTTATTTATATTTTTACCGCCCATCTGGGACGGCACAATGTTGACTGGATGTTGGTTGTAGTAATTTGTATTGGTTTTCACAAGTTTGGCAATGTGTTTATTCTCTGTGCTCCCAAGTTTTGAATTTGAAAAATCACTAAAACCCAAGAAAAGTCGCGTTTTTTCTCGAAAAAAGCACCCAATTTTTTTTAGTATTTAAATGTTACAATTTTCTTCGTTTTGCTTAATTTTTTCTACAATTCCTATGAAACAAAAGCAAAAACCAAAAACGAAGTTTCATGAAGTACGTGGTAGTTTAAATCTGCACTGCTGTCTCTTATGATCTTATGAACTAAAGGAACATAAACTTTTTTCGACCGCTTAACACCTGAAACATAACGAAGTTTGAGTTTCCTTTTTAATGTCTCTTATAGCGTTTTCTTTTCTCGAAAGAATGTTGCATTTACTCTGCTCTGCGTCAGGGCTGTCAAGCTTTCGTGTTCCTTTCTCAGTATCTTCACATGCATATTACGTTCCCTTTCCTTAAAATGTTGCACCCTGATAATGTTGCCATATAAGAAGGTGACATTTTTTTCGAGAAAAGAAAACGCCATTATTGGAGCGTATTCACTGGCGCATAGTGGGACAAATATTTTTGTGTCAAAAAAGCTGTCTACTCTTCAAATCCAACCCGATTATGATTAATCTCTTTTTTCAAAAGGTTCGTTAGATATTAATTTTACTGTTAGGAGATGCTGCTGCTTTTTTGAATAGTTGTAAAAAAAATATAACAAATTCAGTCCAACCAAAGGTCTAAAGGGCGATTCCTGGTCCCAGCAATGGCGAATTACCGAATGTAATTTGGATATAATTGAAATTGCTGCTACATATTATGTTGGTAAACATATGCTCTCTCGCATATGATTGTCATTGTGACATGATTTTGTTTAGATTTTTGTAAAGTGGCTTAAAAAACTTACGATTGCTGTGAATTTCGCCCCCCTTTTTGTTAAGATTTACAGATTTAGTGTCTTCAAACTAAAAACAAAAGCACCAAAAAACGCACTAAGCACTAAACTCTAAAATTTTTTAAATAAAGAAAAGCAATAAATTTAATGCGAAAAGCACCAAGTTGGCAACAGTGTTCATTCGTTTGTATTTCCACCAAATCAACATACACGCCCAGGGTTGGCGCCTCACGAAACCGATTGCGTAGCAAAAGACCAGAAAAATCGCAGTAAAAAATAAAAAGTATTAGCAAAAGATAAAAATTAGTTATTGTTTTAAATTCATATGCATGTTTAATGTTTTAAAACAAAACAAAACAATTGAATTTCAATAACATTTGTACTCTTTTAAGTATTGCGTTATACTTGTTTCTTTTCCAGTGGCGTTTTCCAAATACCGAACTTATAGAACTAATCACTATCTGCCACTTTCGCCACAAATAAGTGAAAATTTACTCTATTTGAGAATATCGATAATTCGATTTCTACGGAATATTGCCTCTGTTGAGCCACTTTTTATCTGTGGCAACGAATCCATCGTGGAAGTAGTTCGACACGCAGTCATTGTTACCTCTTTCCGCAATTTCGTTTCCCTCTTGCACATTGAATCTTTCTGAAATTTGTCCGGTGGTGTCTACTTATGTTTCAGATGTTTTTAGTCAATTTGCAATAAGAGTATACATTTAGATCTTGAAGCCATTACCTGTTTACCACATTTTTGAAGTTATAGTGATTATAGTTGAATTAAATATAAAAACAGTCTCCGACTAGCAGTCATATCATACGGTCGTGGTGCGCTTATTGTTCGTTAATTCTTCTTTCTCTGTATTCGTACAATTAGTAGTACAATAACAAACCGATCTTTCTGCTTTGTGACACCTGCTGTCTAAAATATCCACAGATGTTTGTGAAAAGTTATCAGCATGGCCCCTGGGGCCCAAAACCTCGGGGATAATAGATATGCCCTATTATCCCCACCCACCCGTGCTAAACGAACAAAAAACTATTAATATTAGTGAAGAGTTTCCCGAGCTCTCAGTGACTAAAAAAGACGATCCTAAATTCGTAACAATAAAACCAAAAGACACAAATAAATCATTCACCGAATATTAAATTTTTTGCATTACATAAATCTCTTCTTTCCATATGTAAGCAAATTAATTATATTTCCCAACGATCTGACGGCAGCTCAGTTTATCGATGCCCGCTTCCTGGTCTGTGTGCAATTACCGCCAACTACTACGATAACCTCAACTGCTTTAAGGGCACTGTATATGCCGCTTTCCTCAACAACGTCCCCGAAAACGAAATCGTCGATGGCTTGAAAGAGTATAACGTAACTAACGTTTATAAATTCCAGCGTATTACCGAAGGAGTCCCACAGGAGTAATCTTAATTTCTTTCGATAACTACTTTCTCCCGGACAAGATTGACATCGCATGGATGACCACCAAAGTACGTCCCTTCTACCCGAACCCTATGCGCTGCAAAAATTGCCAGAAGTTAGGGCACACGCTGAAGTTCTGCAAAAATATGCCAGCTTGCCAATCATGTAATCTCCCCCCTCACACTCCCGCTCCATGCATCCGCACCTACTGTGCAAATTGTGCAAGGCGATCATGCTGCTTCATCCAACTCGTGCCAGAAATACCAGCAAGCGAAAGAAATCATGAAAATAAAAAGGCAAGAAAAATGTACTCTGCGCGAAGCGAACAAAATATACAAAACCCGGAACCCCCTCTCCCTTAATCCAAACTCACTCGCTAACATTATGAAACCAAATAGTTCAAGTGACAAAAGCATAAACCAAATATCAAAAGCAACACAAAATAGTAGCACTAACTACAGCCCAATCACTCAAGAAAATCCACCAATAACAACTTTATCTACAACAACAACACCAATCAGTAAACCCACATTCACAAAACCCAGTTTTTCCTCTGCCTACCCCATCATCAACAATAGGTTCATTCCTTATCTTTTTGGACTAAAATCTGAAAAGTGTCAAAATGCCAGAGCGTAAACAAAATGCGCTCACTAAAAGAGAATAACAGGAAAAGTAAAGGAACG